TGAGCTTGAGGCTAAGATAATAATTATAGCTAATAAGTTCGAATTAGTAGGGAATTTAGATTGTTCCGAATTGTACACAAAAGCAAAAAATACCACTGCTAAAAATTTAATTCACAAGAAGCTACCTAATAGACTCCCTATGTCACTTGCAAAATATAATATTTCGACTATTTCCAACCTAAAATAAGTAGCACAAATGAAGGGCCAGCAATGTTATCAAGTATAGACGAAAAACTAAACCTCAATTTATCCAACAGTTTCTTGCAGAATCGGAAAACACTGAATTTGAAGCGTTCATCCCAAATCTCAACCACGGACGAAGCCTGGTTATGGGTGTCTCCTAGCAAACTCTGCACACCGCTTCCGCGGCAATCGCAAAAGGCAAAGGATATGTTATTGGCAAAGTCCTGCTCATACTTCAACTCTTTCTTGCTGATATTTACCATATGCTCTTTGAAGCTTTCAACTTCCCGAAAATGCCGAAACATATCATCCAGCCAAACGTCTAACTGACCAGCATCACTATCAAAGTGAGGCAAGCAGCCAACTACGAGCTACTACCCTGTCTTTCAAAACTAGCTGATCCTTCAGTAGAGATGATTGTGTCTCCGAGACCTGTGACACTTGCCGATATCTGGTTTTTCTTATATAAAGCCCCTGTGCAAAATGGGATGAGACTAGGTACAACTGAAAACCTGAGTCTTATAAAGCCCTACATATTGCCACTACAGTGGCCAAAACCAGAACACCAGACTGAAAACCTTATACAGCAAGGGAGTTAGTGGAATGAGCGTGAGTCAAAGGGGCGGTGTTCGAAGCGGACGATATATGTGATGGTGTCGACACTTTAATTTCTAGTGAAATAGTAAAATGCAGCAGAGTATGATGATGTTCTCCAAAACTAGGGCAATGACTACAATGACTGCAAGAACGAGTTTGATGCCTCTTCTTTAGGAAATTATAACAAAGAGCCAGTTTTTTAACTTCCTAATTTAGGATGGATGAAGACAAATTTCCAATCAAAGTCCCCATTTGCTGTAAGTCTGGGTGTTCAAGTTTTGAAGCAGCGCATGAACTCCAAACTTCCCTAGGTCTGCAATGCAAGCATATGCGAAATGACTTAGCTGACTCCCAATCTATACTCTTGATCCCAAGTATCTCATTCATGTGTGTCTGGAAAACGAACAGTTTATTACTAAATCATTTATTTAAAATATCCAGAACCACAAGATAATTGGCCCTGGAAAGCTCTAATGATTGGACCGAATCCAATGCTGGGCCAGGCAAACACTAGCGGAGATACTGCAGTAATGAAATCCTAATATTCTCTATTCGAAAACATAGGTATATGAACACGGGAAAGCGCATTCTGTTTGCCACGATCGTGAGCTTCGATCATGAGTATCAGCTCGTTTAAATTATCGCGTAATTTGCTGCCAACCTCATACAAATTCGGCTCTTCTAGAAATAAAGCGCGGCATTCATTCAATTAGTAAAATAAACGCATTCAATTAGTAAAGTCGACGGCACAAGAGGTATATATTTTCTCCTCAGATAAATCCCTTTCAATATCCTCGGCTCGTTCACACAATGCAGCCCCTTTTAGTTATTTTATTAAATAGCTTTTATTCATTTATTATTTATTAAATAGCTTTTAGGGTCGCTGATACCTTTGCATGTCTTAGGTATGTATCGCTTGGTTTGTAACAATATAAAAACTTGATTTTGATTTGTTCCGTTATGTTGTTTAGTTGACATATTTTTGATTAAACGATTAAACTATCAGGTAGTTGAACCGGGGAGGTGGCCGCGTCGCCCCCGGGTGGGAATCGTTGAGGGGATCTTTAGATCTTTGTAAAAAACGCGGTTGCGCATGTAGCATGGCGCTTTTGCCATCCGGCGGAGTCTTGCTTTGAATAGATTGAATGGCGTATGTATCTCGAGAGTATAGCCAGATGGGTACCACAGTTTGTAAGTAAACTAGCCGCTTACTTGCAAGAAAAAGTTTGTTACGGGGGTTGAGGGATTCAATTTAAGTGCTTATCAAGGGTAACGTCCAAGTATTTTTATCTGGGATTAGCTTTAGTCCGTTTACCCTCAGCGCTGGCGGTGCTCCTATTCCTCTTATGAAGCACTCAGTTATGCTTTTGGCAGGGCATAGTTTAACGTTCTAGTGTCGAGCCCCGGTGCTAAGAAGGTCCAGACGCGCATCATCTGCAGCAACAACTGTGGACCTGGTGCTAACCATTGCGCAGACGCCGTCGGCATATGAGGCCATTAGAAATGTGCGCGAAGGCAGTCAGAGTAGAATAAGCATATATGCGTAGAAGAGAAAATAATACTGGCAATAGTATACTATCTTGAGGGACGCCAGCTTGGATGTGATGGATGGGCGACTGCTCTGCCCTTACTTTCACCCTGAAAGAACGACCCTCCAAGTAGAATCGGATTAGGGTGATGTAGAGTGATAACAGCCCGCACTTCAGTTTTGCAAGCAGCCCTAGGTGCCAGATTCGGTCGAAGGCCGCATACACAGAAACATTTTTTGTCAAATGCCTCCAGAACGCGGTTGACGACCCCGTGTAACAGTTCCGTGGTCCCGTTCCCTGCGCGAAAGCCAAATTGGTGGTCTGAAATAAGGCGCCATGACTCTTCAATGGCCATTAGTCTTGCTGCACCTAGTCTTTCTCAGACCTTAGATAGTGCAGGCAGGTGACTAATCGGCCGATATGACTCGGGGTCGTCCTCCGGCCTTCCTGGCTTGTGAATTATGGTCACCATGGAAATTTTTCACGCTTTCAAAAAGTACTTCACCCTCATTAGAACGTTGAAGATTAAAACCAGCAAAGGGACGGAAGTCGCTGATAGCACTTTTAATGTACGACTGCACACTAAGTCGTACCCTGGGGCCTTGTTTGGCTTCAGGCATTGGAGCAGTCTTCCACCTCATCTTTGGTAAATTAAGTTGACTCTGTTTCTGAGAATACAACGGCTCTAAACGTGGACAGCGAAGGTTGCAGCCTGCTCTGTGTTCGAATAGCACCAAGCGCCGTCGGGTTGACGTTTTTTGCCGCGTTTCGCCTTTTACAGCGAGAACTCCGCGTTATGTTGGGACGGCATGTTCGTCAACATGTTGTCAAAATGTCTTGCCCGTTGAAAGTTCGTCTGCGATTCTGCGTGCAAGATACCCCTGCGGATAAGAATTACGACGCCACCCCAGCGTCGTTGAGCGGGGTGATTCGCTGGGTAGGAGGAGTACCCAGGAATGCGGGGAGCGCTTAAGAGTGCGATGTCTACCTAGTTGAGTTGCATGTAGAGCTACAACTCAAGGATTTTGGTTGGAACGGCGCCCAAATTCCAGCACAGAGCCCTGAGCGTGTTTTGAGAGAAGCGCGCTAAGGAATACGAGTTCGTGCTATTAAAAAAAATCTGCATCGAAGTATTTAGAGTTTCGTTTGCTTCAAAAAATCGATCATGGATGGATAGTTTTAGGTGTGGTTTGCTGCTGATGAACAAGCTGTGTTGGGGCGATGAACTGTCCAACAGTGGGCCATTAGTCTTGTAGGGGTCTTTGCCACCGACTTGGCCTGCTGTAGGTGTGCAGGTTAGGCCAGAGGGCCCACTCACTGCCCCTGTAGTTGGCTGGGTGGCCCAGGTCGCAGTTGGCACAGATCGTTCGTTGTTCTGCAAATTTGATGTGATGTGCGTCTGTCAGCAGTATTTAGCTGAGTGGCCAAAAGGCTGCCATCGGCTGAACTAAATTAGTTAGTTATTGCTTTTTGTGGTGGTCCTCGATAAAGCATCTCTGCCCAGCAAGATAGCGAATGTTACGAATTCGGTCCTTGTTGCTATCAAGGGCTAAGTTAACGAAGAACAGGTGAAATGGCTTGTTAGAGCCTTAAAATATTTGCGGATCTTGGCGTGAGATGTTGACTCCTGCAGTCCTTTTATAACTATTTGGTACGGCTGCGCCTCTTTGAGCTGATACGTGTAAAAAACGATGTTAGCAGTTTTGAGGAGTTTTTGAACTGCTCTGAATGTGTCTACGTCTTGGGCATATAACCGGGTTATACCACCTACCGAAGTTATTGGTTCGAGAAGTTGCTAATCCTCTGGAGAGAAATTGGAGGAGGTTTGGGCTTCGCTAGTTGTGGCCGCCTCCTGTTCTGAATCGCTGGGTGCGGGCAAATTGTTCTCCACGCGAGAACGAGTCTGCGTAGGTGACGGAGATTTTTTCCATATTTCCGCTATTCTGTTGGTTGTTGCTGTCGAGAACGACGGGGAGGAAGTAGCGTTTTTTGTTTTATTACTCTTGCCATTGGGCTGAGCAATGGGAAAAAGTTCCTTCGCAACTTTGCGTTTGAGCAGCATGCAGCCTCCTTGCGCTTAAAAAAACGGACCTTGTTTGCCTGCATATTATTTGTGTTTCGGCCTTGCATGATTTGTTGTTCACAAACGCTAAACCAGAACACCAAACTAACTAAAGAACATTAAGCGTATGCAAAGCACACAGTGAGCGCGACGAATTGTTCGACTGCTTAAGTGCAAGCGTATGTCTAAGCTGAGCCGGCGAATGACCGCACAAAAGGGAGAGCGCGAAAGTCAACTAGGCGAATTTTCGGGTGGAAACTCAATAGCAATCTCCAAAAAAATTAATTTGAGATGTGTCTAACACGTGTTGCAAAATGCAGACCGCTTCGATGGAAAATGTGTGTAATTTTTGTTTTTTGCGGGGAAGCTCTAATATGTCCGAAAGGCGTATCGAATATATTCACATCAAGTATCACTTATTTTGCTATCGTTCCAATCAAAACAGCGCAATCAAACTATATTCTAAATATCTGTTCTCATGATCGTCTTGTTCAAATAGATACACAGTCATGACGATATCGACTCAACCATATATATCTTATATTGAGAGATGAGTCTCCTTGTGCGTGTTTTAAATATATTCCGCATTTTTTAAATTTACATTTTTCAAATATTTCACTGTATATAAATGGTTTCTTTTTTTTATTATTCTAATACAAGCAGTCTTTTTTTAACTACGTTTCCCACTCGGTAAATATTTTTCTTTTAACTGTATTTTTACTACATAATTTTAAAACAATTAATACGAATACTAATTTTCCCAAATACTCTGACAACAGTTAACTACATGTTGTGGAGAGGAAGATTTATGTTTCATGAAAAAGCCTTGTACTTGGGCTGGACTAACTGCACGAGATGAAGCGATAAGTTTTTGAGCAAATTCTACAGATTTTAAGGTTTCATTTTCACCAAAAAAGTTTTTAAACATTTCTTCAAGTTGATATTGGCTGCAATATCCTATATATTCTTTCAAATCTATTCGACCAGGTCGAATTAATGCGGGATCCAAACGATCTATATAATTAGTCGTCATAAAAACGATGCGCGCTTCGGTAGATGCAACGCCATCTAGGCAGTTTAGCAATCCACTAAATGTTATCCTGTTTAAACCATCATACGCAGATTTTTGTTGTAAAGTAGACTCTCGAGAGACAAAGGCAGCATCAATGTCTTCAAGTAATATTATTGTTTGTTCTGGAGCTACATTTAAAAGATGATTTAATCTATCATCAGTAAGCCCCCTTTCCGATAAATTAAGCAAACAGATTCCATATTCTAACTCTCCCGCCAAGGCAGTAATAAAACTTGATTTACCACATCCTGGTGGTCCATATAACAAGTAGCCCCTACGGTAAGGAATTCCACGATTTGTATACCACAATGAATTTGAAATAAAATCATTGCAATCAGCAATTATTTTTTCGGATATCCCAAGGTCTAACACAACTGAAGTCGTAGGTCTACGTCTTCGAGGATGCCCAAATGGTCTCCATTCAGAGCCCATAGCTGTATACATGAGTGTTTTTCCTTCTGTTGCCTCTAATGCTAGTTGACGCGCTTCTTCTAGGATATCAAAATATATTTGCTTATTGTTACCAAACGCTGTCAATGTTACGGATTCCCAAGGAACACCCATTTGTATATCTAATGTCTGCTGTTCTCTCGTCCTCTCAACTTGAATCCAATTATTTTTGTACCGAAAAACGTGTTTTCCAATACTAGGAATAAAATGGTAGCTTGTTTTAACCTGGCCATTGTCGTTTTGTAAAAACGATGTTTCTACACTTAAATGCTGAGTTTTTTTAGCTCCCTTAACGGTTATCCATTTTAATAGCCATTGATACGACTTATCTCTACATGGTACTTCTAATGTTATCATTAAATGTCGTCGAAATAAAATTGAGGCTCCTTGTAGACCTTTTCTAAGAATTGCTGCGCTGGCACCAACTCCAAATAAACCAAAACCCGCTCCAAAGTATGGATTTGTCGAAAGATTTGACAGCAACTCCGTCCAGGTCATCTTATCTTAAATGACAAAAGAAAATAATTTATATTACACATAAACAGCAAGACTTAATTGAATTAAAATATACATTCATATGTTGGCTTTGAACAGGAGCTAAAATTAAATTGTGGAAAACAAAGATTCGCTTGAAATTGTTCTATAGAAATACCTATCCTTGAACCAACAAAAATGACGACTCAACAATATTGTAGCTTTCTCAGATGATGATTGAGGAATCGTTGTTTGTCAAGTTTCGCATTTGTTCACGTTTTAGCCCTTAGTTTATCGGTTTTAGATCTTTGATCAAGATGTTGAGAAAAAATCTCCTTATTCAAATATAAATGAATGTCTATATTTAAAAAATAATTATTTTTAGTTAATATTGTAATTTATTGTATTAAGTTTCATTAGTTGGGATATATTCACATGTGAATAAAAATTTGGGATAGCTCATGGTCAGCGCTAGAAAACTAACAACACTTATTTCTTTGACAGCAAAAGCGAGTGCCGTGAATTACAACACATTTATTCATATTTTCATATACGCATACGCAATTCACATGCAAAGATATGTGCTTGCACGCTATTGACTGAGGCAAGAACTTCTTTCCAGCATACAGTGTACACGTGGCCTATTTTCTAAAGATAGGTTTTTCAGGTTTTTTTTAGCTCGCTTGTCTAAATGCGACAATTTATGAATAGGTCTTAAAGCTTGCTTACAGTAGCTGAATGAGGCAGTACAACAACGCCCTTGATTCGTCCAGCTGGATTTGTTTTCGCAAGATTGTGCTGAATATCCATTATATATTCGCTTAAAAAGTTTACTTTGATATGGTTTTGTCTGGATTCTGCTGAAAAGCAATGGTGAGCGGCATGTGGTCGGTGAATACGGTTCTGCGTTTATGTTCTTCGTGGCTGCCATGTGTAAAGGGCTTACTCATTGACTATTGTTTGGACTACAAATGGCCTACATAAACGTGTAATAAAGTTTCCGCTTAGCTATTGCTAATTTTGCAAAGGTTACCCGACTCGCTTTTGATACCAAGGGCCGGACCTTTGTGGAGATGGTCGAAGAAGTAACACGAAGTGGTTTCTGCTTACTGGAGAAACAGTGTGTAATTGTTCTAACGTCACGTTGTGCCCCTTGTATACGGCTTTTTAAACCTATCCGTAAGAAGTTTTCTGTACGACGGCCAGTAGAACATATTCGTGTAGGAAACCAGTTCCTATAATTGGTTTCGCAAAATCAGCGATGATAAGATGCTGCGTATATATTCTGTGCTGAGAGCGCCGATCTCTAGCAGGTAAAATAGAGAAACAATCCCCTTTATCCGATTTGCATAGCAACTGACTAAGTTGCGAATAATCGACGATTAGTAACCCCTACTTTGTCCGCCATCCCGGCCAGAGAAGCTTTTAGTTTTCCTCATAGCTGTATACCGATTGAACTTTTCTCCATTCCGTGCGTAACTTCTCGATTCAGGCATAAAGTTTGGAGTTGTTGAAGTCGTTTTACAATGCGCATACCGTTCAGTGGCGCTGAGCTTTCGATATTTTGTCGGCTTGCAGAGAGCCGAGTCGCCGTCAACAATCAATACAATCAAAATGCTTTATACTTCGTCGGAAATCGCCCGACTGCACTTGGTGGAGCTGGTAGAATTTGAGCTCATCGGAATCGGTGTACTCTGTGCTGTCAATAGATACACCAAACACGGCGAATTGTGGCTCTATGTGAAGTATAAGACCGGGTGGTCCTTGAAAAATGATGGCGGCTTGACGCATACCCGAAAAATTGTATAATTAGCCTGAGGTTGCGAAGTAATATTTCCTTTCTTATTTATTACTTGTCAATTTTATTTTTTACAATTAAATGATTACACAAATCTGACATCTATTTTGAACGAGTCGCGTGGAGAACTGAGGTCTGCCTATGAGACTGCCACAAGTACAATAATATCATTATTAACAAAGTCACCACCCAATGAATAAGTCCAGATAGCCTAATATTTCAATGAGTGGAAATTTATTGTTTGACAATCACCATTTATTTATTCAACTACTTTTGTTTTATCAGTAACCCAAGCTAGATTACTTTTGCGGTTACATATATTGGAAAACCACATTACAAATGGGTTTAAATTTATAACCCTGAACGTTATTGTGTAAATTTATGTAATACGCAGAAGAAATCATCTCCGACCCCTTAAAGTACATATTGTTGATCACCATCAATAGGCCTGTCGACCTAGCTAAGTCGGACTGTCTGTTCGTCCGTCCGTATGTCAATGTTAAAAAGATATTTGAAAACACGCCTTAAAAATGTTTATCGATTCCTGCCAACGGATTTTAACTAGGAAGGTCCACCAAATTGTTAAACCCCCGGGATTTTTCTAAAAGTATGAAAAACCTCTAAAATGAATTTTAAAAAACTTATATTTGAAAATAAGCAAGAGTACTCTAATCTTTTGCCAATAAAATATGCATCCCGTTCTACAAGCTAGTTTGCTGGTTTACGCTAGTAGCATTAAAAAAAAAAACAGGTAAGCATTACTTGGCGACTCTACTCAAGAATCACACAATCTAAGAAATAATAAAATAAAATAAATAAATAAACTGCACCACTTGCTATGCCTCTACTCAACAGCTACACCAATAATTCAATATAGTTGAGAAAAAAACAAAATTAAAATAGCAGCACAAAAAACAATCGTAGTTGCAATGCTGTTATTAGAATTCGAAGTTGACGCGAATGAATGTGTGTGTCTACATGTATACAGAAATTAATAGAATTTGAAATATTCTGCAGTATATCTTATCTTACTATAGAATATTTGTGTATTCTCAAAAAGTCTATTGCATTAAAATTGTGGCTTAAATTGGTGGGAAATTAGGTTGGGTTATCAACTTGATTTATAACTATGAGGTAGTAGCGTTGAGGTCGCAATAGATAAAAATTAAATATACTTGATATATGTATAATTTTCTAAAAGCAACATATCATGTTTGAATATCGATATCGATTCTTATCGATTGCTTGAAAACGGAGTAAGTCATCGAACATCGGATACAAACACGATCTGCGCAGACACTAGGCTCTCTAGCTCTTATAGATTCTGATATCCTTGCGTTCTTACATACGGATAGACAAATAGATGAACATGGCCATATCGACTCGGCTATGGATTTTGATCAAGAATATATGTACTTTATGGGGATGCTTCCTTCTGCCTGTGACATACATTTGCACATAAAAATTATACCCTTTTTAAGCATGTACCGAAGTCGATCTCACAACTCTTGGAAAATAAAATCCTTGCTATATTGTGCTGTAGCTATCGATCTTTCCTGTGACAGCTATATTAGTGTGGTGCGATGTTAATGACATTTTGCATATACATACATTCATACAATTATGAGGATCATACTGAATGTCATAAATGCCGAGATGGGTCAAGATGTCTTGATAAAAAAAAATATGTATGTCGGTTGTATGACATAATAGCCCGATGTTGATTAGATTGTGCATATATATGAGGAGCATAGTGAAACTAATAAATCAATCAAGATATCCCGACAAACAAAAAATCCTGTCTACAAGAGCCTCATTTTCGGCTGAGCTATAGAATTATATATAGAATATAATATCCCCTACAAGGGTATAAAAACTGAACCTTATACACACAGCACGGTATTTAATACAATCAGAATTACAATTTTCTATTTGTGTGTATGGATTTGAGTTTATGTATACACATGTACACAATTCTTGTGCTTTGCGTATGTAGCCATATAGCTTGTTAATATTGCCACATATTTTCTTGAATAACTTCTGTGGCTCTTAAACAACATTACTAACATTTTCAGAAGACCTTCCCGTGCAATAAAATATTCTCTAAAGGACAACGGTAAAAAATTGGGGCTTGATAAAGTGGATAGTTCAACTTGACTTATTTATTTGATTAATAGCTAAGGGTAGAGTCGGGGGTGTCGTTACCTATTAAATTTAAGTTGCCTAATTTGTATATACATATATTATAGAAACTATACATCTAATTTGGTGACTAGATCTTCGATTAGAGATTTTCTAAAAAACCGGCTTGAGATATCGATCTGTATAGACCGCTTCGACTATTCACAGAAGCTTAACTCTTCCAGTCACGTACGTTGACACAATACAATAATACCATTTTTACCGATTTTAGATGCTTGCAATGATTAAAAGATTTGCTTTAAGATTTGGTGAAATTCGATGTGTACTTATATGACCGCCTCTTTAGGAATGCATACAGTAACTGTGAATATGTACACATATGTACATCAACATATTTTCTGGGCTTTCATTCATTACCAATTACCTCTAAATATCAAAAACTTTTACTGTTAGTTCAATAATTTATACTTGATTAAGTAATAATAGTAGTGATGGTCGATATTAATTTAAACCCTATTCAAGGATCGAGTATTTAGAAGTAACTAGTTACTGCTTTTCCACATTATAAGGTAACAGTGACTAAATCCAACGTATAAAATGAGCCGATTGTGGAAGATCTACTTTTTGATGGTTATTAATGCAAAACCCTCTAAAACATATATTTATTATATACCTTACTCAAAGCATGACCATTTGACATATCGTTTATATTGATATTGTATTATTTTTGTATAGAATTCAGCACTGTATAACCGATCCTTACTCAGGCCTTTTATACGTGCCTCAAATTTGAGAATCGCTATAGCAATTAATTGATAGGAATTTAAAATAAACACAAAATTTTCTGCTTATTCCTCTGTCGATTACGTGGCTTGTTAACAGAACCACAAGCTTACTTTATCAACCTAAGTGTTTTTAATTGATCTTGATGATATTCGGACGAGCACCTATTGTGCTGTACCTCTTATACACGTATAGTCACATAAATCACATGATCACAAAAATAAGGACTTAAATTAGTTTTTTGATCTGTATATAATCTTCTAACAGGCTCATGTAAAACCTGGAGTTTTAAGAATTCACTTCTTATCGATATTTTATAACCTTTATGACAAAACGGCTTCTAAGAAAATTTATTGATTGCAAAGAAAAATACAGCTTAATTCCACAAGCACCCAGTTTAAAAAAGTCACCAGAACACTCAAGGTACAAAAATAACAATAAAACGGTTTCTTACATTTATATAGATATATAAAGACATAACCAAGGCCATTTAAAACAGTAAAATGAGTAACGCCATGAAACCAAATGTTCTTAGCTTCGTCTTAATGAGTGCTGTGTGATAAATTATATATGTAAATGTTTGAACGTACATGCATAAAATCATATTTTTATGTGTTGTTCCACACTGCAGTGGCTGTTCAATGTGCCTAACCCCTAAAAGGGGATATAGAACGTGTACAGGTGTCGTCGATTTGAGAGCCTACATATTAAATAACATGTCTGCAGCTATAAAATAGTCCGAAAATTATCATAATGGTATACCTGCATTAACTACGGTGTTCCAATTCTGCGTTCCAAAATGTATGCTTATGTATTATAAAAGTTTGATAAAGTACCTTTTCTATATGTTCTTATCGATAATTTTATTAGGAAATTCAAGTAACCCAGCACTAATACAATTTGATTGTCATCATTGAATATACTGAATTGAATTGACTTATTGTCGGCTAAATCATAATGGTATAAATTGCAATTTTTATTTTAATATTATAAAACATGTTTATAATTTCAGTTTCGGAATCAATATGATAGTGATGTTACAGTTTGGAGTCCTCAGGGTCGCTTACATCAGGTTGAATACGCTGTAGCCGCCGTTAAACTCGGAACTGCAACTGTTGGCTTAAAAAATCGTGACTATGCCGTTCTTGTAGCGCTTTCAAAGCCACCATCTGAGTTGTCGGCTTCCCAACGTAAATTAATTCCAATTGATGATCATTTAGGCATATCAATTGCGGGCATTACAGCTGATGCGCGGGTGTTAAGCAAATACCTGCGATCTGAGTGTTTAAGCTACAAACATTCTTATGAATCTGCGTTTCCTGTTTCTCGATTAATTACCAATTTGGGCAACAAAATGCAAACGACAACTCAACGCTACGACCGTCGACCATATGGAGTGGGTTTACTTATTGCCGGATATGATGAAAAGGGACCGCATATTTATCAAGTAGAACCTTCTGCAAACTTTTTTAATTGTGTGGCTATGACTATTGGATCTCGATCTCAAAGTGCACGCACTTATTTGGAGCGCAATCTGTCAGATTTCATTAACTGTTCCAAAGACGAAATAATTTGTCATGGCATTCATGCCATTCGTAGTTCATTACCAAATGATGAACTATTAAGCAAAGATGAAGGCGCATCTCAATTGGTAAAATATATTTTTATTAAACTAAGATCACTTACATTTATAAATAACTTTTTTTGTACAGAATATTACTATTGCAATTGTTGGCAAAGATCAACCATTCAAGATACTTAATGAGGAAGAAAATATTTTTTATCTAAACATGGCTAAAAAGAGAGGTGCATCAAATATAATATCAAAACCTGAGGGAGATGATGATGACAACTCTTCACCTGGCGATGAACCTGAGCCGTCAACTCGACGGGATCCACTAGTCGCAGTTGCTACAATGGAAAACCAATAATATAATCGAAATACTTTTTAAATTATAACTTCCAATAAAGAAGGCAAGTGCCTGGATGACTGGGCAGATTGTGTTTTGGTAAAGAAACAAGCGATCTGGTCGCCCTACATATAATAAATACGATCTGCGCATATGTAAAGTATACACATATGTAGATATCGTTCATAGACTTAACCGGGTTATCCATATTATAGGTTTCAGGAATCTTTTTCCCATTCTTCAAGAATAGCGCAGTTTTCAATTCGTCGCGAGATTTCGTACTTCGTTTGGGCATTTTTTTCTTTAAAAATGACCAAACTTTTTCAATTAGATTTATGTCTGGACTCTGTCCAATACTTTTTTACAATTGTATAACAACCACACCTTCACCATATTAGTCTCATGCTTAATATGCTCATTAACTTGGTAAAACTTGAAATTTGGTCTGCTGCCATCGTAAAACCCAATAATATGAGCGCTACTTACAACGCCTCTGCTTGATATGCAGCCCCATATCATTACGGAAAGTTTTTCAAACTTTACCGCCGATAATATGTTTAAGGGCTTCCGCCAGACTTTGGATCATTATCCATCATTATAAAAAAGCATAATTTTAGTTTCGTCACAGAATATGACGTCATTCCAATACCCTGCTGGTTTCTCCAAGTGCATTCGCGCGAATGTAAGCCGCTTTTCAATATTATTATTTGAAAGGAGAGGCTTCTTACGTGCAACGCGCGATGTATAGGCATTGGAATTTTGACACCACTTTCATAATCAAGATCCCGTGAAATGTTTCTGATAGATATTTGCGAATTTTTTCCAATTTTCTCAATATTTTCCGCTCGTCTCGATTGAGACCTTAGTGTCAAGTCTATTTTCATTTTTTTCTTGGTCCAAGTTGTTATATGTCCATGGTTTGTCTGGACAACACAAACATAGCGGACAACTCCATTACAGTTTTTCCGATTTGGTGGTTATAATAAGCCGGCCGGGCAATATCAAAAGATGTTCTCGTCCCTGGGCTTCTTGCTTGTTCACATAGTTTAACAAACGCTCAAAATTCCATCAGTAAATGCAGAATTTATAGGCAAAGTAATAGCCTTTCTCCACTCACTTAAGACGTCACATTTTCAAATTTCACTTATTGGTGTTACATCGGTTGTCCGTAACTAGTAAAAAGCTGATCTAGTTGCTTTAAGCACCGCAAAGTTGTTTCTTCCAAAAAAAAATATAAATACTCTTTTCGACATTTCGCCATGTTTAAATGTTAAAAACTGTGGTAGTTGAACTATTTTAAATGCCTTATTTAAAGTTGCCGCTTGTCGTAGTAAATATATCATCTGTTTATGGTTGTGGTACTTTCACATTGTTTACAACATCGATACAAGAAACTCGATTAATCATCGTAAAAAACACGAAATGTTCGTGCCGAATTTGCACATGATAATTTGTTTTCTCATGGAAAACATATAGGCCGAATTTTTCACATTTTACAAAACTTACACATTTCAAAAATTTGTAATCAATTTGGTCAGTGGGCAGAGACTATAAAAGGAAAAATATAAAAACGAATTTTTACGGGATCGCATCAAAAGCGAATTACAAAATCGATTACAGTGGTTGTTAAAACAATTTCTGGACACCCTTAAAAATAATTACATGTTATTTATTATTTTTTTTTGTCAAAATTATGTGGAGCAATATGTATTATTTCTAACTAGTTCTAAGAAAAATAAATCGATAAAGAATGCTGTTTTAAGTGCATATTTAATGAAAAATATGTATTTTTCGCTCTGTCAAAATTTCCTGACATACTTTATATATATATCAAACTTGCAACGTTTTCACGCGTCCAATAAAAATTAAAATAATCTTGTTTTAATATGTTTAAAGTTATGCCCACTCAATACTGTAAAAAATTGCAATACTACATTAAAACAGTGGCTCAGTTCACGTAGTAACTAGTGTTTTTTTTTTTACCAAATTTTCACAATTAGCTAGGTGCGAGTGGCGGGTCCATTATCTCTGAATTAGGTCGTTTAAAGAATACTGAAACCGTAATTTTCCAACCCATAGGCTTACCCTTATTATAAGTTGAAATTGAAAAACAAATGAATGTAGACGATAATATAATATACATTTGTTCATTAAAATTTATTTGGGTTCGTGCTTTAAATGATTAACAACATTAAAAAAAGTAACTTGTTACGAAACTGATTGTTTCTCGGTGAGCCGCGCCGGCTAGATCATCGGTTTCTCTGGGTGTAGTCCCGTCCTTGGCCCGCAGTCGCCACAATCGATAACAACAAAACTACACGTCTGTAGCAAAAAAGAGTTACACAGCACTATGCAACATAAAACACAAATCGATAACACCAAACCATCGGAACATCAAACAGATGAACAACATAAACAGCTGTGACGATAAGTAAATGTAAACAACATAGGTGAGATGTTAATGTAATTTAAAAAAGAAAGAAAACACTATTAATCCACTTTACTCTTCCAGATCGGGTCGCGGTTCTGGACACAGCGTACCCGCCCTACCATAGGACGATAACCTACTCGTCTCCTACATTTTGGCCATTAGATGGCCTGCACAGCCTGTACCGGCTGATACGCCCACTTTCCCCATCATAGAAAATTTAGCCGGACATTTCTCTCTTCAGGTACGGTATATAATTGCTTGCATTTTTTATCGCCATTAACATTTAAGCTTATTTCTTATTCCCCTCGAGGATATCTCCAAGCTGCTTTTTATAAATTCGTACACGCGACCATTTCGGGCATTTTAAACAGGTCCATACGATAAATTGGTATTTTCTTATATTTAGAACAATTGATTTTACAGGCAAACGGACACTTCTCTAAACTTTCCTTCTGCAGGGGCTTATGACGTGTTGCATCATTTCATATTCATGACAATTTATATTATTCTTTAAAATTTTAAAATCAGTACAGAATGCTTTGTTTTACAAAATTTATACGGAACAGGAGACGAAAATAAGGTCTAAAATTATTGCCAGTCAACAAAAGAAAGAAAAACAAGGGGAGACATATGTGTTTCCAACGAAAGGCGTTATGCTCGTCAAAAGCGCTTGTAATACCTTGCCTGCCTAAAGAGCTCTCTGGGTGGGCAAGGGCGTAAGGTAAGGTGTCTTCTGCACCTGAGGTGATTAACATATATATATATATTTATATTATATATATATATATATACGTATAAGTGGGAATCACTCTTGCAAGTTAACCAAAATCAAAAATTTTAATTTTTATGTTTACTTGGCAGACGCAATAATCTTTTAACCATTTCCTTCCCTTTTCGCACTTTCGAAAATTTACTTAATTGCGACTAGTCGTGAGTATATTATGTATTTAATTTACAAACAAAAACTAGAGTTAACAATTTAAAAAAAAAATCTGTTCTCTTTCAGGGAGCCTCAAATATGGGTCTGCTTCGGCCTCTGCCTTTTACTCAGGCGAGGGAAGGACGACGTGGAACGGAATTACTCAGTGATGAAGGGAGCGTGGTCTCGCCTATGGCCAATTCTTCGTCGTTGGAGTCCCGTCCGTGATGGCTCGTCTCGCCGTCGTGATGGTTACGCCGACGCTTGGCCGTGCTTGGAAAATCTGGCCTGCGAATATCTGGGTTGATCTGCCCAGAGTCCTCCGGCGCTGGATTCATGCGTTGTGTGGCACCAAATGGCTGCTGCTGCTCTAATGGAGTATCCCTTTTCTTATTGTTTTAAACGCCGCACGACAGTGTATTATTGGTTCGTGTATTATTGTTCTTGTGTACTATTGCTTTATGCAACACGTTAGCACTTAAGGAATTATCTTTGCAATTAAATAATAAAGAGAGCCCGTCGTGAATAAATATATATACTTTGATCTTTGCGAGCGCATGCTTTCCGGCCGGCATAGAAAAAAAATATCAAACTCCAAATTTTTCTTCGGCTCGAATGACGGCCAAGGGCATCTTCAAGGGGATGCCGTGGATCGCAAGCCTGGAGTTGCCACTCCTTCATAATTTAAGCGCCAGTGTGCCCAGCTTCACCCCGATACTCTGCCCCTAGGAAAAACGATGTCGGCATGGCCGATAATAAAGAACGCAACCAATTTTAGTCAATATCGATGTCGCCGGTATGTCAAATGCAACATCACCACGCAGATAATTGTATACGCGAACTCGACCGTTACGATGAATCTATGTGCGCATCTCCTATCCAGTTTACCAGCCGGCCAAATAGAAGAACCAACGGAGGCCACACCCACGACCCTGATCTACACCCGTATATCCTTCGCATGGAACACTCCTAAGGCCTTCCCTTTCAAGTCTTCCAGCAGGTACGAGCTGTTGCCTACACGACGCACTACTCTGGTCTTAAGGAACTTTCTTGCAAACTTGGCGTTGAAAGCCTTCCCAAAATCGCTCAGCATAAAATTGCGTCGGTAAATTTATTGGCCGGTGTCACGGTGTGTATGGCATTGCGTATGGATTCTCTATTTCCGGCCGTAGGGGTCCCACTCGCGGTGATCTTGCTCTAGATACGCCCGGGTGGCCGACAACACGGTACGATTAAGTCGCTCGCTCGCATTGCTCTGTGGTGCGTAGACTGTGGTGCGCATATGCGAGATGTCGAAAGCTGAGCTCATGTTTTGGAATATATTGGATATGAACTGTCGTCCGTTGTCAGAGTGGATGACCTCGGGTACTCCAAACTTATAAAAAACCTCGCTGACCAAAAACTCCACCACGTTAAGAGCCGTAGCCTCTCGCTTGGCTTTTAAGAAAGTGCATTTTGAAAAATTGGTGCGTGCTCTTGCTTCGAAATTGGGTACTTTCCCAGAAAGTCAATGATTAGTTTTTGGAATGGTCAGTCGATCACTACCTCTTCTCCTAGACCCACTTGCATGCGAAAGTTCGGTGCCTTGACTTCCTTGCATGTCACACACTGTCTCAATCTATATATCTTACCTGACTAACCACGTCGGACCAGTAAAGCCGCCTGTAAAGTCTTGAGCGTTTTTACGACACCACATGACCAGCCGTCTCATCTACATGAGCCCGCGCTATTAATCCGGCTGTCAACGAGCTTGGCACCCACAACTTCCACCCGGTGCCTTTTAGCTCGTCTTTCAAGTGTACGAACCCCAAACGCTTGAAAAGTAAATTCCCTTCAACCTGCAAATGCGGAAGTTTTTCCTGATTCGAACGTACTTGTTCGAGCAAGGCCTTATATTCCGCGCAGTCAAACTCGGTGGTCTCAAGTTCGGAGAGGCTTTTCGTAACCTTTCCCACGGATTCGATTCTGCGCGATGGTGTCGGTGTCGGCTACTACGTTCTCACTGCCTTTACGGTGCTCGATGGTAAAGCCGTAGCCTTGCAGCTGCAATGACCAACGTGCTAGTCTCCCTTTTAGGTCCTTCGTGGACATCAGCCATTTTAGGCTGGCGTGGTCCGTGATGCATGTGAACGGCATCCCTTCTATATAGGGTATGGCCAGTATTGACGCTAAGCACTTTTTTTCAGTGACGGAATAATTCGGTTGGTGTTTGTTCAACTTGGCTGAAATGAAGGCTATGGGTCGTTCCTGATCTTCAGTGTCTTTTTGAAATAACACCGCTCCCACACCAAACGCATCGGACTGCACGAAGAAGGGCTTGGAAAATCCGCGTGCACAAGTACTGTGGCTGTGGTCAGGGCGGTCTTCAATTATTCAACGGCTCGTGTTGCCTCGCCACTCAATACGAACTTTCCGCTATCCTCCATGGGCTATTGCACTCTTCTATAACCTTCGAACGCAACATTTTGTCAATTTCGTCATGACGATAATGGGTAGGGTCTAATTTTGAACGGTTGGGCACCTTCCACTAAATAGTGTGCTGCTCTAAGTCTGTCGTTCCTAATCCGCTTCTACTAATTTTCTCCCGGTGTCTAGCAACCCGTTCATTTCGGCGAACAGGCGTGGTTCTGGGGTATCCTCCCGATTCACAGCTTCGGTGACCTGGTGTCTCGTTATCTTGCGTCTGCGGAAGCGCGCCCGAGCCTTGAGCACTCTTCTGGTGGCCAATGTAATCCCCTTTAGCTGCCGCTCACCAAATATCCTATTCCGGGTTGACATGTATGCCCGGGCACGTTCTTCATATGGTAAACCTCTTAATGGTTTTCCTTCATTATTATACCCTGAACCCATTAAAAATGGGTATAAGGGTATACTGTATTTGTGCAAAATCCAAATGTATGTAACAGGTAGAAGGAAGCATCTCCGACCCCATAAAGTATATATATTCTTGATCAGCAACTATAGCCGAGGTGATCTAGCCATGTCCGTCTGTCTGTCCGTCCGTCCGTATGTATGAACGCAAGGATCTCAGAACCTATAAAAGCTAGAGACTTGAAACTAGAATTGAATTAGATGTAGATGCTCCTAGTTCCCGCGCAGATCAAATTTGTTTCCGATAATCGATAACTTACTCCGTTTCCAAGCAATCGATAAAAATCGATGTCGATATCCTGTTTTTTGGGCAATTTTGATAAATAATAAGAGCTAGAGTCACCAAACTTGACATATAGCTTCTAAAATAAAATATATATATGCATTTGGATGTTGGAAGAAGAGGGTTCAGGGTATCCCCTAGTCGGGAGCTCCCGACTAGAACCTATTGCTTGTTATCCCTCTATTTATCCTTATCCTGGTCCATATGGTCCAATTTCTTCTCCTTTACAACTGTTATTGGTTTTGATAGGTGTTCTTGTTTGTTTTTCCGCGGTCGCCGTCCCTAAACACTTCTGTCCCGCCTTCAGCGCGCTCCTTCTGGGGTTTCTTAGACAATTTTCACATTGTGCACAGAATGTGTCCGGCTTTTTGTATCTGTAGCAGAATATCTTCCGCTCCTTAGATAGGCAGTCTCTTAAGACATGGTCAAATTGCCTACAGTTCCAGCACACTAGCCGAGATGATATATTGCCTCGCACGAGGCTCTCTCCAGTTGTCTAGGCGATGATTCCGCACGATGTGGTGGTACATCGTGCTCCGTCTGATATCCCGTGAGCTTGTGTAAAAGTGCGTGCCGCAGTTGCAACCAGCTATCGACCGTAGAGTGCCGCACGTGCATCCAGTACCACTCGCGGACACGGCCGGTCAGTAGCAGGTGAAAACCGCGCAGGACCTCCTTCCAAGGGCATTGATATTGCCTCTGCAGGAACGAACTTGACGTTCAACCGCTCGAGCTTCAGGTACGCTGCTTTCGCACGTTAGCATACGCTTCCTCTGGCATCAAATCATCGGCTCTCCGGTCCACCACTCGAAAATGGCGATTATTCGGATTCAGCTAGTTTCTTGCATGAGCATCGGCGACATATACAATACAGACAGATCCTAGCACAGGCTAACTTATCTACGCAATGCACAGTGGACAACATTAAAGCGTTCGTCAAATGCTTAGTTCGTCAGTTTAACTGGCGAGCGGCAACGGCAGAACGTTACCTATTTATATTTCTGTCGCACTTCTGGACAACCACATGACATGCTGTGTGACGATTGCGGCGCAGGATCGAATCTATATCGTCCTGGGTCACCTGGCTCCGAAGCTCGTTTAACTACGGCCAGCATACACCACATGTAAACTAAGAGTGCGACAAAACAAATAGTGAACCCTACCTTAATATCACATTTCATCACAGGATATTTTGTCATAGCGGCTACCAACAGGCGATTGATGAACGGTCGCGAACGTTTCGCCAACATGTGAACGTGACTTACCTCCATCAACTTTTACAAGAAAAACATATCATGCTTATGGATATTCTGATAATCTCTACCTCCGTTGTGATTCTTGGATTCCACGACTCGACGCGCGATTATGGGCCACCAATTCGTGCCACATAAGACTTCAGCGATCAGGATACTAAGGCCAAGGGAGTCCTTTTCTCTGTTTTACACAACACT